ATAATTATTAAAAGTTAAGGTGTCTTTTAAAAAATGAGTGCAAATTCATCAGGTAAGTAATATAAGTTTTAAATTGATAAAAATATAAATTAAGGAATTTGAATAGATTGTGTCGGAGCGTCAACCAGAAGAGGTGCCGTAAAGCGAACCAATGTGCTTAAAGCAGCGAAAGTGAAATCAGTGTGGAATATTGTGAAAATAATCCAAACTTTTGATACTAAAGAAAAATGTATTTCCTTTGCGGAAGAGCAAGCACTGATTTTAAAATCTGAAATGTGTCGCACGCATAAAGTTCCAATGACGCTGTCATTAAATAAAAGTAGCTCTGTTGGGGTGTTCTGGTGCCGGTTGTCGGAACCGAACTGCGTGGGAAAGGTCGAATGATACCTAGTTCGAAAACGTGAAAATTTCACTTCCACAAATATTTTAATTAATGTATGCGTATGCATCTCATTGGTCGCATGCAGAAGTGAGGAAAAACAGTTTTATCAGGGAACCAGTTTTATCTAGCGCTACTATATGTGACTGGTATAATTACTGCCGCGTAGCCGTAGTATTATACCAGGTTGACCATCAGGTAGCGGTAAAATTGGTGGCCCTGGTAAAACTGTTCAAATAAATGAAAGCAAATTTGGGAAGAGGAAATACAACAAAAGCAATAATAAAAACATAATTTTTTTTTATGTAATTAATATATCTTTTCTTATTTTAGGGCCGAGAGTCGAAGGCCATTGGGTTCTTGGGATGGTTGAGGATGGGAGGGACGACCTTAGGCTGGAAGTATGTCCCGGCAATGTCATGTCTGCTGAGGTGCTCATACCTTTGATAGGGAAGCATGTGGCAAAAGGCAGTATTATATGTACTGATTGTTGGAAGGCGTACGACTGTCTGTCCTGTTACGCATAATTCGTTCGTCGCTGCGGACGGGACCCACACTCAACGCATCGAGTACCAGTAGCGCGTAATTAAACGTTTTTTGTTTTTATTAGAAACAATTATAATAATTGTGAGGATTTTTCCACTTTAATTTTTGAGTATATTTGGAGAAAAAGTATTGCAAATAATCATCATTCAATTAAACATTCATATAAGCCTTAAAACTTTTTTTTATTACAATGGTACATTTATATCAGATGGTATTTGTTTCCTGTGTTTGAGTTTTTATATTAATTTTTATTCGTTTAATAAATGTCTAATTATGGCAGCACTTATTATCTGTCAACAAGGAATACTTTCGTTAGTGTGCATGGAATGAAAATTGTGTAAAATATAAAATGCTTATTCTAAGGAAATAACTAAAAATCAATAGGTAGAAACAATGTAGCGAAGTGTAAGTGCATAATATGAATTAAATAATTACTAGAAATCGAGAAATTGCAAGATAAATTTGCTAAAGGTTTCAAACTTAAATGCAAATATCTCGAAAACTATAAGTTTGCGGTGGCAACAATAATATATTTTCGTAATCTGGAGCATCAGCCCTACCTAACCATACCACTTTGAACCCTGAAATCGTGGGATGGTATACTAAAGTTTCCCCTTAAGTTTTTTCATTTTTCTTCCATTTGGCACACAGCCTAAGTTATGAAGTACTCCCTATAACTTGGTTACCTTTCATCTGTTTTCATTTCTTACATTATAAAACATTGGTAACACTTCACCTATAGAGCACGCCAATATACTCGTTACTCGTTGACAGTAGCTGCCATCTTTGTTCTTCCTTTCTTTTTTTTTTAAAGAAGCTTATTAAATTTACAGCGTTTAGTATACGTGCATAAAAGGATGTGGAAAATATGTAAATGAAGACCGTAATTGTTATAAAATTTGTTTTGTGTGCCAACTAAATTAAGACACATTTTGTTAATTTCAAAGTTATTAGTGGTGTCAAACTATAGTGCGAATGGATATCTAAGTATTTGTATTGTATACTATTTGTGACTGAACCAATTCATTCTGAATTGAAAGGATTTCTGTGGGTAGAAACATCAATTCGTTTTCCAGAAATTGTTTTATTTGTATTCGTACACTTGCGTAAAGGGCCATATGTATTCTTATGAACTGTGTATAAATAAAGGAAACTATATGTAAATATTCGTGCCTAAATATATTTGTTAATTGACAATTATTGACAACAATAATAGTGTGAACATTCCCTTAAACATTTTACTAGATGTATATAATATATAATTTATTGCAACTAACTCGGGGGGAAAAATTGTAATGCGAGCATTCAAGAAGTTCTCCAGTTTTAGGAATTTTAGGATAGGATTTAGGATAACTCCCCACGAATTCGATGTTAAAAAAGGGATTACCGGATAAAGTGGTTGAAATTTAGAATAAATTTTATGGCACGATTCTGATTGCTTTGGTGGGCGGGGAATGGCAACGAATTCCGGTATAAATGGGTTATGTGCTGATAAGGGAGCTTTTCCGGAGGAAGAACCTGTAAAAGTAAGGGTAAATTTTGGAATAGCATCCCCGGATTTCGAGGTTAAAATGGGTTTCTACGGATAGAGGAGGTTCTCTAGATTAAGAAAATATATATGTACATATAGTTGAATATGAATTTTATGGTTATATTTTTAACTTTTATATCTACTAACACTTCACTAAATCGTTTCTAACCATTTGTTTTATAATGAATAGTGCAAAAATAACTTTTATTTAACATTTAACTTTTGTTCATTTATTTTTGCTCGTACAATAACAAAAGGGTTGCATTCTAACTAATAATCAGTGCTACCTTGCGTTCATATTTTACAGAAGAATGTTGTTGTTGTTGTTGTTATTGTATCGGCAGAATTCCGCCGAGTTGACAGTCCTTGGCAGGATAAAAATCCGGGTCCGTTCCGGTTACGTAGACCCGACTGTGACATACCCATTTTAACCCCGAAATCCGGGAATGCTATTCTAAATCGCAGCCAAAATTAATATTACTAAGCCTCATATTATGCACATATATCAAACGAATAAAAATGAATATACATTTTTACAATTATTACACATTTATCAAACGAATAAAAATTAATATACCGTCTGAAATAAATGTACCATTGTAATAAAAAAAAGTTTTAAGGCTTATATATAGCGTTTGGACACGCTTAAAAAATCCTGGACGATCCAACACCAGAGTAAACATTAGTCCATTCGCGTCCCACTTCTTTCGGCAATAGCGGCCTTCGGCCGCGATTCAAAAAAATAACCCCGGCCGCTCCAACACCGGGGTGTGTCAGATTTTTTTGGAGTAAATCGTTTTTGCGCTGGCGGCCTGACCGATCAAAAATAATGATATATTAAGAAAATAGCCAATGATTTGTGTATTTGGGGTATAATCCTATTTTTATTTATTTTTTTGTTTGATAAATGTGTAATTATGGCAACACTTATCTGTCAACAAGGAACACTTTAGTTATTGTGTATGGAATGAAAATTGTGTTAAATATAAAATGCTTATTTTAAGCAAATAACTAAATAATCACTGAAAAATAAATATGTAGAAACAATATAATGAAGTGTAAGTGCATAATATGGAATAAGTAATTACTAGAAATCTCGAAAACTATAAATTTGCGGCGGCAACAATTATATATTTTCTTAATCTGGAGCATCAGCCCTATCCAACCATACCACTTTTAACCCCGAAATCGTGGGATGGTATACTAGAGATAGCTAGATAGATGGTATACTAAAGCCGACCCCAGTTTTTTTGCGTTGAACTCCTTTTTGCCCGATCTAAAACCGTGATTTAACAAGATAATGAGAATTCTGAAAGATTTTACATTACTCGTCACACGATAATGAATTTAGTTATGACATTATAATTTTTCTTTTTTTTTTTATGCCATTACAAAATATTTTAACACTATTTTTTGCTTGTTTACAACCATTTTCGTATTTAATGAATAAATGGATTTTAACTAAAGTTTGATATGGAATTAAAGTTAATATAAAATAAATAATAAGAAACGAAAACGGAGAAACACGCATTTTAAATAGTTGATTTTTTGAATTTTAAACGCAAATATCTTAGAAACCATAAGTTAGCGGCGGACCTCCTCTATCCTTTCATACCCATTTTAACTCCGAAATCGAGGGATGAAATCGCAGCAAATGAACGTTGCCACATCTTAGAAATCAAATATGAGGGATATTTCAACCATAGCGTTTTTTTTTGGACTTGTTTTCTTTATTAACTATGACTTGATGGTACGGATGGATAGAGGAATTCCTCGGGATTAAAGAAATGTACACGCATATACCCTCCTCAGACTTATAGTTTTCGAAGTATTTGTATTTAAAGTTCAAAAATTCGTAAAAGTACTGCTCGTTATTTCACAATGTTAAACCCATTTTTCAATTAATACATTTTTAATTACACTGCACACATTAAAATATATAAAAAATTTACACTTATTGTGTATTTTTTAAGAAAATAAATATACTTTAAAAATTGTTTGCACATTCACTCTTCCAAGAGAATGCGTGTTTACAATATGGCAAATGATGATTTATGTATTTGAGGGGCACGATTACGATTCTTCCGGCGCCGCGATTTGATGGTACGGATGGATAGAGGAGCTCCTCAAGATTAAAAAATGTATACACATATACCGTCCTCAGACTCATAGTTTTCGAGATATTTCACTTTAAAGTTCCACAATTTTGTATGGAATTCACTTTTATTTTGTTTTGTTTTGTTTTTCTTTACATGTCATGATAAATACTAGTGTTGCCACATATTGTGTTTTGAAAAAACTATTAAATAATTTTCTGTTTAAGGTTAAGAATGTATTGGACATGTAGTTATATGTATTTATGTGTCCATATAAATATATTAAAAATTAGTCATTCTCCAGTCAAGTAAATTAAATTTTCATAATTATCTTGTGGGAAGTGTGTGTGCTAAGTGTTAAATTACCTTACAAGCCGCCAGTAATTCAATYAAATTATTAAATCGTAGTATTATTAACTAATCAATATGCTTCCTAAAAAACAAAATGTGACTATACACAAGTGCAGCACCTGCTCTCTAAATATTAAGGAAAATCAAGCAAGTCTTATGTGTGCATCCTGTCGTGCGTGGGTACATCTTAAATGTACCAGCTTGTCAACAAAAGAATTCAAC